TAAAGCTGGTCTTATCTGCAGTATCCAGGTGTAGTGAGGTGATCCAGTTGCTCTTCCTCAAGGTGGGCGGTCACCTTTGGTGTGCACGTATTCTGCAGCATGTTGCAGGATGTGCTTAATTTGTCATATGATCAGTTCCTGTGCTATATGTTTCACTCAACAGCCTCTGTGATTGCCATGTAATGCTGTGAGAACTCTGTGTTGTCAGTGTTGATCAGACAAGGTGGCCCAAAGCCTTGTCTGGAAGGCCCTGAGGTTGTTGCTGCTGTAGGATGAGATTCGTGGGCAGCCGACTACCAGCAAGGTTTGGAATGATCACAAAAACTAGACTACAAGATGCCAGAGCTTAGGAAACTCAGACCTAGAGATCAAGGCTGTTGCTGTGGTGAGGTTTTTGTTCTGTTTGTTTTAAAGCTCAATTCCAGAGCAGACACAAGCAAACTGTCCCTTTGTCCTGGCTTCCTCCGTTGGTATTCCTGACACAGGACAACTGTTGTGTGATGGACACAGGAGTTCCTTGTGCTGTTGTTGTGCAGATATTTAAGAATTAGCACATTTTGTAATCCTTTGAAAAGTCCTGTGCACATTCTCCACGCATATGTGATGTCAGAAGTTATGAAGCACTCCTTCAGTATTTATGAAAATGCATTTTGTTTTACAGTAAGACTTTTCCCCAGAGTATGATGTTACACTGTATGCAGAATGAAAATACTGCAGTGACTGTTTTGTTGACTTGCTAATGATGGGCAAGGCTGTATTCTAACTCTTCCTTGGTTTCTTGCATTCTGTTTTAATCCAAGATCTCACCTCTCAGTTCTTTGTCAGGGCAGACTCTGTAGCAACTTTTTCACAGTTGCAACTGTTTGAATATGAAAGTAAGTCTGAATGTGTGTGCTAATTTTTTAATCCAGGAGGAAAAACATTTATAAATTTTTGAAGTTAACAATTGTTAAATTGTTATATTCTTATCGGAACTGTTTTAAATCATTGAAATAACTTATTAAAATAAATAATTTTTGATATCTCAGCTGTGATGTGAATGATGCCAGATGCTCCTTTGTTTAAGTATTGCTCATTGAATTTCATGAATTTTGCCATCATTTGAAGCAGTGAGTGAGTTCTTACTGAAACGTGGTCTGCTGGTGTGTTATGGTATGTTCTGCTGGAGGTTGGAAGAAGGGCAGTTCTGTGTTTTTAAGATGAACTGACTTAATGATTGTTTCCATAGACATGGTTATTGTTGCACTTCCATCTGCCTGCAAACACACAGGGCAGAAGGAAAAGGTCAAGGATCATGTTTAACTTGTGACTCCTACCCGACCTTTTTCAGTGAGAGGAAGATATAAACTTCAGCCCCAGTGAGAATCAGATTTGTATGAACTTGAACAAAAAAGTCTGAAAGAGGCAGAGATTAAGTTGGTGGTAATTTGGAAGAACAGTAATCTTGATGTTTACCAAATCTTGATGTTTATGCTTTCTGCCCATTAGTTTGCGTGGGCAGAGGTGCTGCTGGGGCAATGAACACTCTCCTTATGTTGTGATTTTTTTTTAATTGTTGGGAGTCTTGGGAACAAAATTTTCTCAATCTTTTGATAAAAACTATATGCTTATGGAACATGAATCAGTATGAGATGTCTGCAGCCTACTTCTTCTAGGTCATTAGATAAGCTAAAGGGTCTTTATCACCTTTGAATTTGGGACTATTGGTACGCATGAGCTCTGCAGTCCAAAATATTGCTTTATTTAGGTGGTTTTTTGCCTGTATTCATGTTTTTCCCATCCCAATGCATCTTTATGTTTCTCTGTTGAAAGCACTTTGTTAGTTCTGCAGTTCTCTCGATGGTGAGATGGTGTGAGCCGTGTACCAGGCGCTATCTTTGAATTCTTCAAACCAGTTGTAAAAATCTGAATGTGGAGTGAAAGCTGAAGTGCAGTGTTTGTATTCTGCTACAGTCGTGTGTCAGTGTTTCCAAGTGCAGTCCAACTAGTTGGCTTGGTTCCAGACTGAAATTCCATTTATATCATTAGAAATAGAAGTTAAATATAATGAAAATTAACCTTCAGAATCAGTTCAGAGACAAATTTATCCTCTGACCCATAACAGTGTTTGCAAACATGCACAGCTATTAGTTTTAAAAGAATTTAAATTAAAATAAAAGCAGTTTAATTAATTGGTAGTCTACATTTTTAGCTTTACTCCAGTAAAACTGGGAACCATGAGCTTGACTAAAATAAAGCAGAAGTAGTTTCCTTAACACTTATATACTCCTGAATTGCATTTTATCCCCAGATCTTTTACAATATGTATAAATTATCAGTGTTCAGGACACTTTTCTCTGAAGATCACATCATGAATTATTAAATATGCCACTATATTTTGGAAAGTATGTGGAAATAAGTAATAAATAGAAATGAAGGAACATTAGGTCTCTTAGGAGAAGGCACTATAAAATCTGGTCTACTTTAAAGTTGATTAAAAATCCAAAATAAATATATTTAAATACACATTAGAAGTATAAGTTATTCATGTGTATATGGCAAATTTGTACCTTGATGTGCTGTGTCTGTGACATTAAGCAGCTGACTGAGGATTCTATTCACTTTAAACATCAGCATCATTCTTTATAGTAAGGCACCTATCAATTGTTCAGTAATTTTGAGGACTAGGAAAAATTGAATCTGTGCTATATTTTCATTCTGCTTTTTCAGTTTTTAGATGTGTTTCTGGTAATTCAGTTTCAGCAAAACAGGTAAAAAATTAAAATTTGAAAATAGATGCAACACTTGAATTAATTACCTTGATTTACTCTGCTGTTCATGCAAGAGGAGTAATAACCAAAAAAAAGACAGGAAGAAGGAGAGAGAATTCTCATTGTAAAATACTTAGAATAGAGCAGCTGTGACTGGCTTTACACAGATGTAATTTCTAAGCAATTTTAGAGTCTCTCCTTAAGCCACAAATTGCCTGTTTTCCTTTTGGAAAGAGGAGCAGTGTCCTTCACTTCCTCTGTAGCCAGGATGGTGCTTTTTTTTTACTAGATAAAGGTGACTGACAGGGAATTAATGGATTCCCCAGTGCACTGTTGATGGCTCTGGTCACCCCTGCCAAGCACTGCCCGTGTCTCCCCACAGGTACCTGATTTACTCCCGTGTGCTCCAGGACAGTCATGGGCCATTAGGACAAAAAAGTGCCTCCTGCCCTGTTAGCGGTGAGGACTTCTGTCCTTGACTCCAGATGGATGAAAAGGTTCATGCGTTGAGCTCAGCTGCTGCAGGACTTCTGGTATTTGTGGTTTTGTTGGGCTTTTTTTGGCTGCTCAGGAGCTTCCGCTGCTGTTGTACCTCAAAAGCTGCCCAGGGCTTGAGCCTCAGCTGGTATTGACAGCATGGATTTAGGGCTCATGGCCTAAGGAACCTTTCATAGATTTTTTTTGCAACCCCACTGTTGAGATAATTATAAATAGCAGTAGCTGAGTTTTGCTAAAAGATTGCAAACAGCAGAGGAAATTCCCCAGGGGCACGGGGATTAGGTTCCGTATCTTAAAAAGATTTTTTTCTTTTACAAGATGTAGCATGAAATACTGTTTCTCGTGCAATTTCTTGTACATTTTGGTTTTGTCTTCTGCTGGCATTAAAATTTCTTAATCTATTTCTGATAACATTGTGTCAAACCCAGAGAACTTAAAGGGGAAAACAAAGTGGTTTCCACTTGGAAGTAAAAAAAGGCTGTTGGAAAGAGAACAACGGCCCAGTGCTTTCATGAGGTCACGGCTGTCTTCTTTCTGTTTTATTAAAAAGAAGGTTTCTTCTTTCTGCAGATGATGGTGTATATTAATGACTTCTGGAGCGTGGCCCTTCTGCCATCAGTGCTCAGTTGGAGGCACATAAGCTCTTTATAACAGAGTGCAACACTCCTGCTACACAAACAGTTTATTTGCTATTAGAGAAAAAAAAAAAGTGAGTTCTCTCTTGAACTGTCCCTCAAGCTAAGTATTAAATTTAGCTTCTTTTATGGTGTACTTACTGGTAGGGGAATGAAGGAGAAAAGTTAGATTTCAAGCAAGACAATACAAAAAAGTTACCAATACCATGGGTTTATTTTTTTTCAAGGTAAACTTCTCTGGAAGGGAACTCAAAAATCAAAAAATAATGCTGTCTCCAGTTATTATTAACTACAAAACCCTCCATCTTCTAAGCAGGGGTGGCAGTGGACTTTTTAGTTTGGTTCCTCTATTTAGGCACTCTTGTTTTCTGAGAATCCTTTAACAGTGCAGCAGAACTACTGTCTGCCTCTTCCTCTTCACTTCCCCATTTCAATTGCAGCAGAGTGTAACAACTGAAGTAACTGGAAGTTACAATTAATTTAAGAGCAGTGTAGTTTCAGCTATTAAAATGGAAAGACTAAAGTTTGAAGAGGAGTGTGAAATTCTTGAGGGACTCTCCTTTTTATCAAGGGGTACAGAAACTGTAATGTTGATGGGTTAAGGGAAAACAACTGTATTTTAATATTTGAGGTGGTTTCTGTTTCTCTTCCTATATTAAACTGACAGAGGGAGTTGCTTGGGACAGCAGTGACCTGTACTTAACAAGGTCTTATCTTCTATTCTTAAAACTCCATAAAATTATGAGTTTCCTTGTAGCAAGTGTTTATCTTCCTACTACAAAGGTAAAGTTCTATTCAAATTGTGTCAGGTGTTAAAGAAATATTATTAAAGCTAAAAATGTTTTATAAATAGTGGAACGTGAGTGTAATCACTTACCAAATGTCTTTGATGGATTCTTTGTTTAACTATTCAATAATGCTGGGGAAAATCATAGGTTTTATTTATGAATGCACTTTAGGTAGCTCATTCATTTTAAACAGACATATTTTACTGTTAGAAAAATCTACAAATCTGTGGTGCTTCAAGCACTTTGCTGTAATTTAGATTAACCATGGTGCATTTTCCAGGAATGTCATTAGATATCAGAGAGTTAACTTAGAAAAGCATACCAGAATGTAAAGAAACCACATTTGTTTATTGTCTAGCAGTTTATCAGTTAATCTTGGTTAGGCATATATACAACCAAGCTGGAAAGCAGAACTGGGTTTTGGAATGTGATCAAAGAATAAGTTTATTCTCCTCTGGATCATGTAGCACAAACTCTTTAGGAATAAAGGGCAGGAATCAAGAGTATAATCCCATCAGGGAGGAAGAAGAGCCAGCCTAAGGACATTTGTTCCATTCACTGTAGTGTGCTGTTGTACCTGAGAATAAAATGCTGTTTGCAGTAATACTGAGCTTCATCTTGTTAGTGATCTGATCAGTTTTACTTTGAGGAGAAACAATATATAAAAATTACTTTACTCAATAGTTCCATTCCTTGGGGATAAAACTGTTTAAAGATATTTACCTGAATCACATAAATGTGTATTTTTAAAAAAAAATCTTTATTACCTGCCTGTCAAAACCAAGAGTACGCAGAGAACATAACTAAATTCTGTCCTCAGCATTTCATCTTTTAGAATGAAAATGTAACTGCAGATGGAAACCACGAGACCATCACAGCAATCAGCAGGAAAAGCAGTCCTCCATCCCTAACAAGCTGCATAATGGTATAATTTCTTGGCTTTCGTCCACATCCCTGGGATCTAAACCATTCCACCACTTCATTCAGGCTGTACTGCTGAGGCTCATACCCCAGCTCCTTCTTGGCCTTCTCCATACTAAAATAATGAGTGACACCAGTTTTGTAAACCTCTGTGCGAGTCAGGAGGGGCTGAAAATTATAAATGTGGCCTACAAGAAAATGAACTACTTCAGTAAGGAATGCAAAAAAATAGACAAGGGAGAGAGGAAGGCGACAGGTTGGGAACTTGTAACCCAAACCTTCCACTAAGGGTCGGAAAAATTCAAAGTTATTTACAGGCCTGCCATCTGAAATAAAATAAGCTTGGCCTGCAGCAATGTGCTGCTTGTTGGCTTTGAGGGCCTCAAAGGCAAGGATATGAGCCTGAACCAGGTTGTCTACATGTACAAATTCTACCAAACTAAGAGGATCTCCATAGACAAATTTAAACAGTCCCCTTTCAATATAACTGACTATCCTTGGAAGGTGTCTCTGTTCTCCAGGCCCGTAGATACCTGCTGGTCGCAGAGCACAAGTCCTTAATACACCTTTCCCATTTCCAAGCTCAGCACCATTTGCTTCCAGCACCTTCATTTCAGCTAAAGATTTGGTTCGGGAGTAGTGATCGGGGTGGAGGTGAAGAGGTAGGTAAGGCAGAGATTCGTCCCCATTTTCTATAATCTGCCCTCCAAATATCACGTTGTATGTGCTTGTATAAACCAGACTCGACACTCCTGTGCTCTTGCAGGCTTGGATGACATTTTCTGTTCCTTTCACATTAACATCTTCTATAAGTTTTCGGTTCAGCTGCTCCCTGCCAGACATTCCATAGGAAGCGATATGGAATACGCAGATTACATCTCTGAGAGCATCTTCCACTTCAGACAGGCAACAGATATCCCCCTGCATGAACTTTATTCCCTCTGGCACGGCTTGAAGTGGCTTCACGACATCAAAGAGAATCACATCAACTCCCTTTTGATATATGGCACAACCTAAACTGAAACATGAGAGAAACCATATGTTAGGATTCGTAGCACAACGGTGCATGAAACATTTCACCTGGAGGAAGAGAGGACTATTAACTATTTTAGTGCTGATCATTTTTCTGATGGGAGTCTTTTAAATATTCAGCCATCTACTACGGGGCAGATTCAGCTGTGATACTTGAGGTACTGAACTAATTTCTCACACTCCAGCAGTACTTCGGAGAAAAAAAAAGGCAGAATTGCTGTAAAAGATTCTGAACAGAAACAACTTAAGTGCCTTCAGCGGCCTTCTGGAAGAACACAGCTCTGGAAGAACCCTGTTTCTATCCCCTTTATATCAGCAACAGCAAACCTTTCAGATGGAAACCTCTAGCCAACTGCTAAAAAAAAAGTTTATTGGTTTTATCTTACTGCTTTTGTGCCATCCCAACTCTGGCAGAACAACAGGTTGGTCTTTGCCGTTGTGTTTGAAATTTGTAGAGAAGAGGAGTGAGATGCTACTCAGCTGGAATGAATTCCATGCCACATGACATATTTTACTCCAAGTTCCAGGTATAAACACAGGTATTGACACAAAGTATAACTCTGGTGTTTCTCCCCCGCCTTTCCTACAACTGTTGTATGTCTATAGTGCTTTAAGGAGAGACAGTGGAAGAAAAAGCCAAGCAGAAGTTGGATAGGGTTCTTCTGGGATTTCTTTTTTCCTTCCTCCCACTTGGCATTTACTTTTTGGTCCTGACTGTGGTCTCTCTCCCCTCTGTAAGCAGTTCTAACTGCAGATACTCAAGATAGTCTAGGGCTCAAAATAGGATTTTTTCATTGCAAGGCCTGCAGAGCCAGCTACAGTAAATGGACTTCACTGAAATATGTACCTTATTAACAACTCTAATCCTAAAACATTACTGCCCATGAAAATAAATATAATCTTAAGAGAGCAGCTGGAGCAGTTATTCTGCAGAGCTAAGCGGTGTGTAACTATTTGCAGGTCAACAGAAAGATGTGTGTACAAGAGGAGGCTTGTCCTTCGGAGCAGGCTGAAAGGTGGTGATCTGACCCCCATTACAGAGGTGACCAGACAGGTAATTGTCGGCGAGGCAGCCGGTGCCTGACGTTTGGAAACAGGATAACAGAGTTACTTACAACATCTGGAGACAGACTAACATGTTTGTTTAAAACCGAGAGCCCAGATGAACCAGAAGATGGACTGGACTGGATCAGGCATCTCAGGGACACAGTTTTCCGTTTTACAGATGTAATTTGTTGCCTCCCCGGCAGCAATCTCTTACATTTATTCCTGTATGTAATAACCATTTAATGCACTAACCGGAAGCCAAAATAACCCCCTCCGCCAGTAATGAGGACTCTTTCCTTGGCAGTGTTTCCTGGTTCCATCCTCTTTCCTTTGGCACTATATGGTGAAATGGACCTGCAAGTCACATTGCAAATACATTAAAACCAATCTGAGTTTTAATATCGCCGCACATTCGGTTATCCACCAATCTACTGCACGCTTTAATTGCAGCCCTTCATCTCACCACCGAGGCGGGGGAGGACGCTCAGCCGCGGGATTCCTCAGAGCGGAGGTTTTACGCGGAGGACAGAGAGGGCTGCGGGGAACAAGGCGAGTCTGGAGCCGCTCGTGACGAGCTCATTCGGTCTCCAACTCCCCTCCCCGGGCAGCGCGGGGGTCCCAGCCCGTACCTGCCGTGCCGGTCCCGTCCTTCCCGTCCCTGCGGAGCGGTGCCGGGCTCTGGGATCACGGGAAATGGAGCGGGCGGGGCGGGGGCCGCGCCGCGAGATGGCGGCGGGGCGGGCGGGCCCTGCCGGTCTGGGTTTGTGTCAGTTCCCTTGTCCCCTTCTCCAGCCCAGGGACGCTCGGTCACAGCAGGGCTCTCAGCCTGAGGCGCTTTGAAATGGGGGCTCTCGTGTTGTCTGTGGAACCGGAGCCTTTTCCAGCTGTGTCCCGTTCGGATGTTTGTGCCAAAGCCGGGTGCTGGTGCTGGGTCAGGGCAATCCCCGGGATCAATCCAGGCTGGGGATGAACAGATGGAGAGCAGCCCTGGGGGTGCTGGTGGGTGAGAGGCTGGACATGACCTCGCCCAGAAACCCCAAATCCTGGGCTGATCCCACAGCGTGGGCAGCAGGGGAGGGGGATTCTGCCCCTCTGCCTTTCTCAGGTGAGACCCCCCCCTGCAGCTCTGGAGTCCCCAGGACAGCAAGGACATGGAGCTGCTGGAGCGAGTCCAGAGGAGACACCAAGATGATCAAAGGGATAGAGCAGCTTTGCTATGGGGAAAGACTGAGAGAATTGGGATTGTTGACCCTGGAAGAGAGAAAGCTCAGGGGTGACCTAATTGTGGCCTTCCAGTACCTGGAGGGAACTTATGGGAAAGATGGGACAGGACTATTTACGAGGGCATGGAGTGACAGGACAAGGGGGAATGGCTTCAAACTGAAAGAGAGTAGGTTTAGATCATGTATTAGGAAAAAAATATTTTCTGTGAGGGTGGTGAGGCACTGGACAAGGTTTCCCAGGGAAGCTGTGCCTGCCCCATCCCTGGAAGTGTCCAAGGCCATGGGGCTCTGAGCCACCTGGTCTAGTGGAAGGTGTCCCTGCCCATGGCAGGGGGGTTGCAATGAGATGATCTTCAAGGTCCCTTCCAGCACAAACCATTCTGTGATTCCCTTGGGAGGCACCTGCAAGTGTCGCCTCAGGGGTGTGAGGCTCTGCAGAGGTCTGGGGCACCTAAGAGAGGCTGAGGAGCCCTTGAGCCCTGGGCAATTTAGGTGGACAGGGGAGTTTCAGATCTCACTGCTGAACATTTCTTGATGGAGATGGTTGTCAAGCATGGGAATAGGCTGCCTATGGAGTCACCATCACTGGAGATGTTCAAGAAACAACTGGACATGGCACTTAGTGCTGTAGTTTAGTTGACAAAGTGATGTTCAGTCAAAGGTTGGACTCAATGATCTTGGAGGTTTATTTCAACCTAAATAATTCTGTGATTCTGTGGTTGTCCTGCCATGTCAGGGAGAGCTGAGCCCTCACAGCATCTCCGTGGATGAAGGTGGCTGTCCCACATGCTACTGCATTTGTTGCGAGCCTGAACTACGTAACACACTCAGAGAGTTCTGCTGTGCCTCGTGCAGAGGTTGTTTTTGGCAGTGGGAAAACACTTCACAGCACTGACTGACTGCAGTAGAATTTCTCCCAAGTTAAGCACCAGCAATCCACTGCAAGCTGCCTGTGAGAGAGAGCTGTAACAGGAAAACAATTAAGAATTACACTATCAAAGTTTGTTTTGCGGTATATTCCATTTTTCTTTGGCAGAACTGAGTCACTTGGGGAATGTCAGAAAGTTGGTTACAGTGTCAAAACTGCTTAAAAACACACAAGTTTCTGTTTTGCAAAACCTTGACATAAGTAGACATAGTGTGCTGTGTTGTTTTGATTGATGGCTGGCAAGAATTAAAACTGAATAGATTCCAAGAGGAATTCTGTAAGTATTAAAACTTAATTTTTTTAGCTATAATTTCTTGCTGGTTAACCTCTGGGATTCTTAAATAGCAATTTCAAGATGGAGCTGGTGCTGTACCTGACTATGCAGAGCTGTCTGGCTTGGAGGGCATCCTTCAGTCATAGCTGATTTCCCTGTCTGCTGCCTGTATAGTAGGAGAGTGGGTTTGAGACAACCCTGAAAAATGCCATCCAGATGTATAATCGATGTTATGTTCACAGAAGTATGATAATTCTAGCTCACAAACACAATCTTGATGAAGATTTTGAGAATATTTTCCCAAGTGTGTAATCACCTGCAAAGTACCGAAAAGTCCTGAACTCTCCCTGAGATCTGCAGACACAATGTGTTTTGTCTTTGAGGAGTCTCCCTCAGATTATAACAGTTGGTGTCTGTCTTCTGATCAAGCAGATTGTGTTTGAATGGAATATTGCAGAATCACAGGATAGTTGGGGTTGGAAGGATATTGCCCATTGAACCCCCTGCACAAAGCAGGTTCACCCAGAGAGGTTACACAGGTTCCTGTAGGTATGGAATTTCTCCAAGAATAAATAATCCATATGTTCAGCCACTTTCTCCTTGTGGCTCACAGAGCTTTGTGCTGTCTGAATGGTGTCCCTGACCTTGCACTCCATGTTGTGTGTGTAAATCCTTCTGTTTGAACAGGCAGCTGTTAACCTCGGGATGACGTTTTGTCCTCTGGACTTTGTGATGTGTCCATGCAGGACAGTTTGCAGGATTGAGACCTCTCTCTGTACATTGTGCTTTTTCTTACTCTCTGCCTGGTATGTCACCTACAGTGAGTGAATTGTGTCAGACTATCTCATAATTAGAGTAAGTATTATTAATGTAATAAAGCTGTGTTAAGATACTGTAAAGATTTTGCTCTTAAACCACTATCAGTTTTATTTCTCATTATAGTGAACTGTCCTTTTTGGCTTCAAAGAATAGTAAGGAACATTCATTCCTTCAAAAAGGTGACATCCATGAAAGCTGTGGGTAAATACTGTCCTCGTTTTACATTTACAGATTTGATGTTAAGACTTGACACTCTCAGATCTCATTGTTCTCCACAACCCACGTGTTCATGCCCTTTCATTCCCTACGAGACTTCACTTTTCCTAAGACTTTATGGACTTCTTGAATGTATCATAAATTCTGGTTTGCCATCAAATAAATGGACTTCCAGTTTTACTTTATGTGTAAAAGAACATTTGTCCTGAGATTGTGTCTTCCTAATTTTCCCTTTAAAGAACCGGGCATTTTGGAGGATGCCTTGCATATATCCCAGCATGCAGAGAATCAGACCATGTTGCAGTCACTTGAAGAGAAGAGACCACACTAATGCCTGGAATTGCAAGTTAGGGCAGGATGTGTCAGGAAAGAAACATTTGCAGGATGGAGTGGGAGTTATCTCAGTACCACAACCTGAATTGCAATCAACCTGAAATAGGTTGCAAAGAAATCCTTAAATCAGCAACTAAACAGAGCTAAATAAGCAGTTGTTGTGAACAGTGCAACTTAGAAAGAAACAATGAAATCATTAATTATTCTTTCATAGTATGTTAGTCATCTGGTTCCCTTTTGCAATTTAAAATACTTAGCTAGTAAAATTATTTTTGTCATCAAAATACAAAGCATGCCAACAGTACTATTTCAGGAAGCAGGGCAATATTTCATCTGGGGAAATAAACCTTAGGTTACTGTTTTCATATTATTTGATTGATTTCTTTTTAGTATTACTTAACTGTGCCTTTTTTTTTTTCATTGTGCAATGGGATAACAGAAGAGAACAAGATTTAAAACTAGGTCAGAACCAACCACATTTATGGTCTTACTAAAACATATAAAACCAATTGGTTAAAATAGTACTGTAGAGGTGAAAACTGAATCTACGTTTAGAATGGAATTAGAATTACAGTGTTCAAAATTAAAATCAAACATTCAGTCTAGATTAGAATGGAGTATTTTCCAAGGAGGACAGGCTCATGGATAAAAATGCTAGTCTGAGTTTTAGTCTTGGCTCTGACAGAGGTTCCCTGAGTGACCTTCAGAAAATCGGTTTCTGCTCTGTGACAAAGGTGGTGTTTCACTTCCTCACTGCCCGAGCTTGTGGTCGTGCTGGTTTCATTTGTGTTTTTGATGCTCAAGTGGGAGCTGCTGTAAAAATATTAATAAAGCAGGAAATAAATTATGTGGGGCTTAAAGAGTTTAGGGAAGTATGCAAGTTATACCCTTTGAAAGTGTTAACACTGACTTCTTCTTAGGCTACCTGTTGATTGTGCAGTATTGCTTGTGGGAAGTGTCATACAATCTGGTTATGTGGAGATGACAATCCAAAGCACTTCTAGTTGCTTTTTTCTGTCAGTTCCAGTAATAGAAAAACTTAGCCCATCTCTTCCGGATTGAGAAAGGAAAAGGATTTCAGCATTAATTGTATTTACTGCTTAGTGAACACCATTCACTAAGGCTGATTAAAATTGTTCATCTGAACCATTGCTTTGTATCATTTTCCTAATTTAATTCTTTGTTCTCTCAGGAGATATGACTTTACAAATATTTCCAGTCCTGACTAGGAGGTGGTGCAGGGAGTAGTGAATTACTTATCAAAGTAGGAAATCGCAAAATGGAAGGTAGTCTCTACTCAACAGAGCTCTTGAAAAGGGTCTGTGTGTTTGCAGTATATTTTGAGACCCTTGAGTGAAGGAAGAAGTTTGGTATATGTTGCACTGAAGATATGTGGGCTTTGTTATATAATTCTTTCTATACTGTCAAAAAATTATTCTACTATTTTAGTTTTGGAATCATCTTGAATGAGGATGTGGATTTTGGGATGAATGGTAACCTGGGGCTAGGAACTTCCTTTTCATAGATGTCCACAAGCAAGATCCAATGAAGAGCCCATAGAGGCAGCAGGGTGTGATGTTGTCAGCAGCAGTGCAGGGCCCTGCTCACAGGTTTCTGTGCCTCCTTGTTTGCTGGAGGCAGCTCTGCCCAAGGCTGTGCAGGCAGGAGCTTTTCATCCCCTTCCCCGGGCAGTGGAGCAGCTCTGGCCTGGGTTGGTGGGTGTAGGAGGGTACAGTCAACTCTTCAGAAGGTACAAACCGCTCAGACTTTGGCTGTTTTCACCCCTCAAAAACCAGGTTGGGTGGAAACATCAGTTGCCAGTCAAACCAGCTACTTAAAGCGTCTGGACAATTCCTTCTTCAGTTCTGTATTCCTTGTGTGCCCTGAGAGAGGGTGCTGTTGTACCGTCGTGCTGAGGGACCACAGCTCTCTGAC